CAGGTTGAGAACCACTGCTCTAGAGGCAGGCAGATGAGAGGGGACCTCAGGAATGGTCGGCCAGACTCCAGAGGTGTCACAGTGCTGAGAGTTGGGGGCTCTGGCCACCTGTTTTTGGCACTCGGAGCTGGAGCTGCAGATGGGACCCAGGAAAGAGTCCCCCCCGCACCTGCTTATTCCACCCAGGCTGTGTGTCCCCCATGAACATCTCCTCTCGTAGTCAGTCTGGATTAAGTGTCCTTTTCCACACATATGCATATATACATACACATACATGTACACATGTACGTGTAGGCACAAGCCACACGTGTACACACAGGTGATGCACACGCATGTGCATGTGTGTGGACACAGTGACGTGGCCGTACCTGCGCACTCAGGTACACGTGCGCGTCTCCGCTCTCTGAGGGCTGTGTGTCCTGTTTGCTGACCGCAGTCCTCCTGGGCGTCTCGGAGAAGCGGCTGCAGAGCGAGCTCTTCCAGGCTGAGATGGAGCGCAAGCTGGCGCAGCTGCTCGGCGAGGTGCTCCACCGGCAGCGCCTGTGGAGAAGGGCCACCACAGCCACGAGCAGCAGCCTGCTCCAGGTGCGCCCCCACCTGGGGGTCAGGGACCCAGGAGGGCAGGGAGGGACGGAGTGGGCTGATCTAAGCGGCAACGTGCTGGCGAGGGAAACCCATCACAGGGGGCTCCTTAGCGATCCGCTCCGTGTGGCAGCCTGGTGTGTCCACGGGCATCTTAGAGTCTTACTGGGTCCCCAGGGAGTGTCCTGAGGGGACACAGCAATGGGGTTCAGCTCTGGCTTCACTTTCCTGTCGGAGAGCAGTGCCTTTTAGTGAGGGACAGGGTGTCTGCTTAGTGGACGCTCAGTATACCAGTGACCTCACAGACCTCAGTCCTTGAGCCGGGAGGAGCCCAGAAGAGCACCTGTTTCTGCCTCCTGTTCTAGCCCCAACCCCATAGCCCCTCACCTCGCCCCACACCCTCCTTTCAGCAGGAATGGCACAAGCTCATGTGCATCTGACAGGGAAGTGACCTAGATTGAGGATGTAGCTGCCCACACAGGGTCAGCTGCTGCTGATTCCCATCATGATGGGTAGGCTGCCCTCTGGGAATTCCTTTTTCAGTAGCAGCTCTGGCTTTGCAGTGAGGGGCCAGGGATCCTAATATAAAACAAAACCAAAAACAACCTACTTCCCTGTCTAGCTG